CGTTCCTGAATGCATGTACTTCATTGTTGGCTGTGGGTTCTGACAATAGGATTCCCTCCTGCTGTCTGTCATCTTGGATTGATTGAATATTGGATTTGGATACAGTGATTGAAAAGACCATAATGGGAATGAAGTTAAAGGACAGGTCCATGGCTTTGGCACGGGTATACATCAAAATCCAGAAGACGTTTGCAAGACATTGAACAAATTTAGACTTTTTAGCAAAATATTGATAATTCTGAGAGGCACAGAATGAACAGTCTGATTCAGAATCAGGTTTGGCTGGCATATCTGGAGTTTGTATATAGTTACTTACTCCATTTATATTCTGCCTTTCTCATTGAGACTCAAACTGGATTACAGAATCTGAAAACAACAATTGGGACAATTACAAGGACTTTCAAGGGGCATCTAATTCCCCCCTCCCTATTTCCTGTTCTCTTTCTTGAAAGCCCCCACAGCCTCTCCTCCTTTCCTGGTCCTTCTCTCCTTCCCACCTATGAGCCCACCTACCTTCATCCAACATTATCTTCAGCTTTCCCTCCTTCCCTTCCACTGGCAGGTGGGAAAATGCTGGCCCAATTGCATGGTACTGGCTGCCAGGCCCAGTTGTACAGTGCCAGTCACTAGACTAGGCCCAGTTGTACAGTGTGGGAATGCACATGGACTTAAATTTGCCACTGTAACCCCCATATAATTACTTTTCCTTGCCTCTTTCACTGCTTCCCACCCATCAACCAACCCACCTTTCATTTGCTGCCCCATCTTTACTTATATTTATTATTTAATTTATATCCTGCCTTTCTCCACAATGGGAGCCCAAAGTAGCATACATCATTCTTCTCACCTCCATTTTATCCTTATACCAACTCTTTTAGGTAAGTTAGGCAGTAACTGGCCCAAGGTCACCCTGTGAGCTTCCATGGCAGAGTGGTGGTGACTCAGACCTGGGTCTTCCAGATCCTAGTCTCAAACTCTAAGCACTACACTATGGTGGCTGCCAGGATTGGCCCTGATGAGCCCTCTGTCAAAGGCCAAAACAGCCCTGGAAAGGCCTCCCCCCAACTTTGACAGAAACCAAGGCTTGAAGGCTGTATGGATGCCTAGCAACAGCCACTGAGGACATACATAGTTAAAGCTACAAGTGCAGCTTCTATCATTTTGTGGTGGTTTTACTCCCCCCACCTTTTCTGCAAGCCTGGGGTGTTTTTCAGGTTGTCTCCAGTCTCTGTATTTAAGTATCCAAGTTGAGAACTAGATATATTGGTGATGCAAAAAGTGTAATATAATATAGGTCGAATCTGCATTTGTCCTTCCCACCGGTATCCCAGCCTTCTGACTCTGTCTTCAAAAAAGCTGTCTACATTTGGTTTCGTTTTCACACCTCAACAGTGCTAGCATACTTTTACACATCCACATATGTTTATCACCTTCTTGTAGGCATCAAAAGTCCCCCCGGGGGGTGGGGGAACCCCCGCCCCAGAGGCCCGTTCCCCACTGCCACCGGATCGGGCCCCCGGGGGAACTCCTCCCCGACATGCGCATCACCTGGAAGTGATGCAACCACGCCGGGCATGCTGGGGGCGGGGCCATGAGGGAAAACGGTATGGTTTTCCCTCGTATGGCCGTGGCCCCGCCCCCAGCGTGCCTGGCGTCGTCACGTCACTTCTGGGTGACATGCATGCGGCGCGCGCACCAGAGACCGGCCAGGAGCCCCCCGTTCCCGGCGAAGATCGACTTGGCAACCCTACCTTCTCGTGGCGGCTCCACTGTCATTGCGCCTCCCCACTGCTTTAAAAGAATCTTCTCCAAACAACGTTCAAACAAGCATAGAGAAAGACGGTGTCACAGCAGCATGAAACTGATTTAAAAATGCAAATGCAGATTCGACCATAAACAAAGCAATAAAACAAGAACAATGAAACTCAGAAATAAAAACAGTACAAGACATCCAATAAAAGATGCTATATGTCTGTGTGTATATAAACTGCCTAAAGTTTTTACAGACATCAAGACTATAACC